TTTAGATGATGAACAATCGAAATTTCTATACAGTTACGTATTTGAGATTAAAGGTTATTATCATATTTACAAGTTTGCAACCGTGTCTTTTTATGTTTAGATTTAATAAGTGACTGAGAATAATTCCTTATTCTCAACCTTTTTTATTTTTCTCAATTGAACTCGTCTGTGTGTGTGTATATATATATATATATATATATATATATATATATTATATATATATATATATATATATATATCGCATGTTCTTATGAATAAAAACGTTAATGACGTGGCAGTATCATGACCACTTATTATTTTTTATTGGAGTAACGTTAGATGATTGGCTGGGTTAGCAAAAGGTACTCCTACTCTTGAAAATGATTGGTGTATGGGATCCAGATGGCAGAAAGATAGAGGTTAAAATATGAATAAATGTGGCCGAAATTGGAATGGACGGTGCTAGGTGAGAGTGACAGCCTACTACCCTACTCTGTATCGTCGTCATGTTATTAATCTATGTTTTAATTTGAGATAAGATAGCGTAATTTAACATTTAATAAAATTATAAAAATTATTTATAAACTATCTTTTTAATACTAGTTTGATATATACTATTATTGATTGATAAGTTTAATTATAAACTAAGTTAGCTTATAAGTTCGTTAGACCTAAATATGGTAACTTTAACCGATAAAAAGATCAATTATATCATCTCTATATGTGTTATATAACCTTTAGAATTTACCCAAATGCTTTTGTTTAAAACACTTTGCTAATCTTAATGTTGTTACAACAATTTGTTTATCATATTTTTCAAAGATATGTATATAACTTAACATTTAACAATATATTTGGTTTATTAAATTAATATTGACAATTATAAATAAAAGAGTCGGCGACCAAAACAAAAAGAAATATTTATTACCACTTTGTTCCAGATTATTCTACATTGCTACCTTATATAAATACCACACATGCTTTCCACTTCACTCATCATCCCAAGCCCCGATATCCATCTCTCTTACACACACACAAAACTTTCAGAAATGGGCAAAGACGTTGAAGCCGGTGGTCATGACTACAGCGCAAAAGATTACGAAGACCCTCCACCGGCTGCTTTTATTGACGCCGAGGAACTCACGAAATGGTCTTTTTACAGAGCCATCATTGCTGAGTTCATCGCCACCCTCTTGTTCCTTTACATCACCGTCTTGACTGTCATCGGCTACAAGTCTCAGACCGATCCCGCCCACAGCTCCGACCAGTGCGGTGGCGTAGGAATACTAGGCATCGCTTGGGCCTTCGGTGGCATGATCTTCGTCCTCGTTTACTGCACCGCCGGCATCTCCGGTAACTTTTCTTTCCTATGATCAATCAATTAGTTTCCTTACGTACTTTGATAAGTAGTTGATGGATTTAATTTGACGATGGTTTGATCAAATTTTCAGGAGGACACATTAACCCTGCGGTTACGTTTGGGTTGTTCTTGGCTAGGAAGGTGACACTCCCGAGGGCAGTGATGTACATCATTGCGCAATGCTTGGGGGCTATCTGCGGTTGTGGTCTTGTTAAAGCTTTCCAGAAGACTTACTATAATACTTATGGTGGTGGCGCCAACGAGCTCGCCGACGGCTACAGTAAAGGCACCGGCTTGGGTGCTGAGATCATCGGGACATTTGTGCTTGTATACACCGTCTTCTCCGCCACTGATCCCAAGAGAAATGCACGCGATTCCCATGTCCCTGTAAGTACTTACTCTGCATTATCAGAACTTTGTTTTCTCTTCTTTCTTTTGACATAGTTTTTTGGATGAATTAATGAAAGGTGTTGGCACCTCTTCCTATTGGATTTGCTGTGTTCATGGTTCACTTGGCAACAATCCCAATCACCGGCACCGGAATCAACCCTGCTCGTAGTTTTGGCGCTGCCGTCATGTATGGAAAAGATAAGGCATGGGATGATCAAGTAAGTTATAATTATATTCATATTATGTTCATCGTTTAAGGTCTTTAATTTGGACCTTCTTGGTAATTCATTTTTATTCCACCACATGTACGTGTACTCATGGATTGAGGTGTGTGTTGTGTGTACAGTGGATATTCTGGGTGGGACCGATGATCGGAGCCGCCATCGCCGCCTTCTACCACCAATACGTATTGAGGGCAGCGGCTGTAAAAGCTCTTGGATCCTTCAGGAGCAATGCATAGGGAAACAGAATGAAGTTTGCAATATTTCCAAGAAATTGTACAAATTGGCTTGTGTTTTTTATTGGTATTTAGGGCCCATATTTTTTCAATGTGCCCAATAAGGCTCTTGACTATGGTTTTCTGTAAATTTGCTCCCTTTTGTTTTGATGTAATTGTTCAAAGGGTTTATTTGCAAACCAAATGCAAACATACCAAGCAAAATACAAAGATACCAAGCAAAGGGGTTTTGTCATCGACTTTCATCTCTCTTTTGTCCTATAGGTTGCATATGAAAAAATTTGATTTTTTCTAATTTAATTATACTATCTAAATTACATTTTTTTTAAAAATTTTTATATGTTGGAATGAAATTAAATATCCATAATATTAGTAGCAAGGTTTTGAAAACCGAACCAGAGACCGAATCGATCGTCTTACTGGTTCAATGGTTCAAGTGGTCCAACTGATCGGACCGGTCTCAAAAACCAGAAAAACCGGATAATGTCATAATTATTTTAAATATATGAAAAATATAAAAAATAAAAAAAATAAATATTTTTTACAATTTTTGGTTTTGATCGGTTTTACCGGATCAGTTTTTACCGATTCAACCGGTTTTTACTGGGTTTCGCCGATTCACATGAATATCGGTTTTTTGGTCTTTATGAACCGGATCCGGGTCCGGTTCCCGGTTGAACCAATCGAACCGGCCGGTGCAGTCTGGTTTTCAAAACATGAATTAGTTGTGACCATTACAAAAATGCATGACATGTCACTGTGTTAGCTAACTACCTGTTTGCTAATTTTGGTATTCATTAAAATAACCTTATAATGCTAAAAAAAAGACTTTGTTTAAAAAAAATATATTTTAAAAAAAAAAAAAGTTGTCAATACTCACTAAACATAGGCCTGAAAATAGTGTCGTATTCGGGTTGGTGAATTAAAATATGCTAACCCAAACATGATCCATTTAAATATACAGGTCAAGGGTTGGCAGGTCATGAGTTGACCCGTTGGATCATAAACCCATATATGTGTAGCATCCGAAATCCGGATGACCAAGAAAGGAAAGGAAAACCGTAAGTCAAAGGGATCAACATGTCGAGTCCATGGGTGAAATCGATGAGTCGGAGCGGGTTCTGCGTCGAGATTTAAGGTATCGACTCCGCGAGTCTGTGGGACTGACTCAGCGAGTCAGGTCTGTGTTGGGAAACCTTAATTTCCAGACTTGGTACCTTATTTAAGCATCATTTCAGGCCTCCACCATAGCCTCTATCATTCCCTTTACCCACTCTCGAAACCCTAAGCCTCCATTGATGTGCTCTCAAGCTTTCTTTGCCATTTTTGGGTGATTTGAAGCTAGAAGGAAGAAAGGAACCTTTAGTGATTCAAGAAGGTGCAATAGATCCAGAGTTGGTGTGATATTTCAGATAATTTGAAGGTATGAAGCTTATACCTTGGCTTTTACTCATTTAGATCCCTTTTCCTAGTTAGATTTTTGTCACTTTTGGGCCATTGCCAAGGCCAATCCGTGTATTGTACCTTTTAGGACAAAGAAGACTTCTGATCTGAGTACTTTTGGGTTCTAGAAGTTCAGAGTTGCTAGCTTTTTCCATCCATGGCTCCATTCTATGTCATAGACCACCATTTTTGCTTGGATTTGGTGTTTTAGCTTCATAACCCTTTGCATGCACGTAAAGTTAGCAACTTTACCTGTGAAGCTAGCCTTAGGAGTGCATATCTACGATTGGGAAGCAATGGAATGGACTGAAATCGACAGAATGAAAATGATGAAGGTGGACTCGACGAGTCTGTTCTTAGACTCGGCGAGTCGGGTCGAAACCCTAACCTCTTTTGGATGCAAGTCGAGTCAGTGAGTTAAGGCAGTGACTCGGTGGGTAGGTCAATACCAGAACTAGGACTCAGAAGTTGAAGGACTCGACGAGTCAAGTTGTGATTGTGGGTGTTTCTGAATTCATGAACTCAGCGTGTCAATAGGCTGACTCGGCGAGTACGGTCAACCTGGAAGGTTGACTTTGACCAGGACTTTGACATTGACCAGGGCTTACTTAGTTTGACTTATGGAGTTCAGTTTGGGACTAAGTATTATATTGATATTGAAGCTCGGGGAGCTATTGGAGCAGCGGTTGGGGAAGTTGTCAGATAGCAGTCAGAAGAGTATCAGTCAGAGTTTCAGCAGTGCAAGGTGAGTTTTCCCTTTTGTGTGGATGTGTCTACGACCACAATGCCGGCCCATGTAGATATGAGTAGGAAGACTCGGGGGTTATCCCTAGGCACTGTATGCTAGTATGATATTCAAGACCAAGGTCTAATGTTAGCGGGCGGGTGCCTAAGGAACGGTTTACATGATAATCTATACTTGTTGTTAGTGTGATACATGTATGTGTCTGGTAGGGAGGCGAGTGTAGGCTAGGTCTCGTATCTCACCAATAGCATAGGGTGGGAGGTGTTCTATACCTCATTAGTAGCAGAGTAGGGGAAAGGCCCGAGACAGGAGTGGAGTGAGTGTGGGCAGGGGTTCGCATCTCACTTACAGCAGGAGCTTGGACGGGGTTCCGTGACTCACTAGTAGCAGGTCAGGGGCGAGGCCCAAGACAGGTGAGGCCTTAGTACAAGAATGCAGTAGGGTGTGCTCAGTTTATGTGTTATATGTCATTGTTATATGTAGTATGTTTTCAGTGGGCGGGGCCTAAAGAGAAACATATATGTATCCAAGCGGGGCTTGAAGACAGGCATGACCGATGTAGCGGACGAGGCCTGAAGTAGCGGGTGTGGCCCCATATATGCAGTATGTGATTATGCAGGGTATGTGGTAGGTTGGGTAACTCACTAAGCTTCGTGCTTACGGTTTTCAGTTTTGGTTTCAGGTACTTCCAGTAGCGGAGGGAAGAGCTCGAGGTGATCGCATGGCACACACCATTGATTATTCACCCAAGAATGTTTTACTCTGATAATGGAAATATGTTTTGGAATTAATACTCTGAATTATGTTAGGATTTATTTATGGTTTGATAATTATGATTTAAGCAATGTTTTAAAAAGAAATTTTTAGACTGTATTTTTGGGACGTTACAATATGACTCGCCAACCCATTTATTTATACGGGTTCACAGGTTGGCGGGTTCGTGGGTCAGCTTTGGATTAGAGGGTCAGATTCCATAAATAAAATTGACAATTAAACATGAGTAAATTCTTGATAGTTGATGCAAACATATCCGAATTTTAGACATTTAAGTTTTAAACATTCAAATGAAAATTAAAAACGTTCATAGAAACGTGTTACAGACTTAGCCTTATAGGTTACAATTTACAACCTTAGACCATCCATTACGAGTCAAAATGTCAAAATGTCAAAATAGTCAAATAGTCTATGAATCGATGGTATATATAGTATATAATACTTATTAAATATTAATACTTGATACATAAATACATTTAAAAATAAAATAATTTTTTATGAAGAATATAAACGGGTTGGCGGGTTCAAAAACTCAACTCAAACCCATATATGACTCGTTTATTTTTCGAGAAGGCTGACCCAGATCTGGTACCCTCGCCATACACTATAAGCACTCCCCCATTGGGATCTCGTATAGTCACCAACTGATGCTCGCAGTCAATCGCGACTCCAAAACAACTCAACCAATCCATGTCCACAATGACATAGACATCCTCCATCGCAATCAGTACGAGATCAAACGGAAACTCGACACCAAAAATCTCCAGCACACATCCTCGGAACACATCCGCAGCGAAAACCACATGCTCGTCAACTATAGAAACCCTCAAAGGTCGACTCAATACCGCACGTCTGATACTGATGTGACGACTAGAAGCTAAGTACACGAAGGATCGACTCGCAATCAAGTCGAATAAGACTAAAGTAGGTACAGAACTCACAAGAAATGTACCTAAATATAACACAAAATAAGCACAATAAATCTATAAATAATTAAATAAAAAGGAAATACGTACCAGCCACGACATCAGGTGTTGCGCGGACCTCCTCCGTTGTCAGCTGAAAAGCTCTACCACTAGCCCTCGGAACCTCGGCCTTCACCGGACGACTATCAGTAGCACGTAAAACAGTAGGTGTAGATCACTGTGCTGATCCCTAACGAAGCTGGGGGCACTCGGTCATTCGATAGCCAGTTTGGTTATAGTGGAAGCAAACTGCAAACCCCTTGGGGAAATCCTTCGCCATATGCCTCTCCTTGCCACATTTGTAGCAAATCCCCGCTCGGCACGACCCCTCGTGACTCTTGCCGCACATTCCACAAGTGAGACCCCTTTGGCCCACACTCCTCGAATCAGCGGGCTTAGCCCGCTTAGCTGCAAGATGTGATTGCACCAACCTCTGGTCTCTCCCCTGAGACTCTGCATCCTCCCTAGCCGGAGTCTCCAGCTCGAGCTCCCTCGTCCTGGCATTTTTCTGAAGCTCAGAAAATGTACGATAAGATGAGTTCGCCACGAACTCTCGAATATCCCTCCTCAGAATGCTCAAATACCAGCTCATGTGCACCTGCTCCATCAACACATGCTCAGGGTAGAACAGTGCCCTCTCGTGAAACATCCGTGTAATCTCAATCACCAACTCTGTCTTCTGCTTGAGAGACAGAAACTCCTGGGCCAACCTTTCCCTCTCCATCGGGGGAAAATACTCATCTCGGAACATTGATATGTGCATATTTAGTCATATAATTTATATAGAATATTAATACTTGTTGACTATTTTATAGCAAATATGGAACAAAAGGTGCTTAATCACGTTTAAATTGTATTTCCAGCATAGAAGAAGTGCTCGGAAGCAAAAGGAAGCAGAAATAACAATCAGGAGCTCGGGAAGTAAATAAAGAGGAAAAAGTCAAACCGAACCGCAAACCGCAAGGTGCGGTTTTTGTATTCTTAAAACCGTTGGGTGCGGTTTTCCAATGGTTCGGTTTTGCGGTTTCGGTTTTAAACCGATTCAAAAATTTGGTGTGGTCTTTGATGTTTTTTGGAGTATTTAAAAAAAAACACTATAACAATGTGCAAGTAAGCTTGTGTGGTGCAATTTTTTTCACTTTTTGAAACCGTTTATTGGTAAAGGTTTATTTTCAATACAAAATAAATTATATAAATAAAAAGTTCTAAGTGACTTTATATACAACCGTTGACTAAGAAAAAAAAATTAAAATTTGGCGTACTTGTTATAACCTTATAACATATAGTTAATTAGTGACCTACTATGTTGTGGTAACTACAAAAATAAAAACAAAATAGAAAATAAGTTCGGAAAATGGTTTGGAATCCCGATTAAATGGCTAAACCC